GGGAGCCAGTGCGCATGCTCGGTCAGTGGGGTGCCGCCCCCCCCCCGGACGTGGGCGGGGCCTCGAGTCCGCAGTGGGTCCAGGCCGGCTATGCCCAGGATGGGCGTGGGGTGCATGCAGCTGAGAGGCACAGTGGGCGCAGGTGGCCAGCGTATGACTGCAGGGGACCTCCATGGGGACGGTGGGAGTCCCAGGAGTGACCCTGCCCCTGTGGGATGGCTCTAGCGCCGCAGGGGAGGCAGCCCCCTCAGCTCCCAGAGGTTGCTGCGCACTTGTCTATGAGCACCTGTGAGGCCCCCAGTGTGGGGAGTGGAGCTGAACACCAAGGAGAAGGGTGAGGCCAGGTGGGGGGCAGGCAGAACCCAGGGCCCACCTCCTGGAAGCTTCCCTCCTGCCTCCTACCCTCCTAGGCAGTGAGTGGGCCCTGTGCTGGGTGCCCTGGGCAAGGTGAAGGGGTGGGGACCTGGGAGGTGCGGGACCCCCAGAGGGGTGGGGTGCCACCTGGCCCTGGAGGAGCTGGTGGCAGTGTCACTGGGGGGCAGCACTTGGACAGGGCAGGAGGTGAGGAGGGCAGGCACTGGGGGAGCTGCAGCCAGGTGACCACTGAAGGCAGTGGGGTGAGGTCATTCGAGTCAGGCTGCAGAAGGGTCTAAAGGGACATGGGGCCTCATCCTGAGCTTGCTCCTGAGTGGAGTGTCTTATGACCCTTGGCTGTGATAGGGGGAAACCTCAGACAAGGCTTATGGACAGACAGCCTAGCCAGGAATTATCTGGCCACCCATTTGAGTGGGGGCACTGTTGTACATCCTGGAGGCTGCAGATGAAGGGAGGAGTGCTGGGAAGGCCTCTGGGGTGCGGCCTTCTTTTAAAAACCACTCAGGCCAATACTCTTTCATTGAAACAAATAAATTCAATTTTAGCCCACATTTCCTATGTTTTCTCAAAACAGTGAAACAGCTCTGTATTTTCCCAGTCAAATCCATTTGAACAAAGTGGAGTAAGGTGACCACAGATGACACAATCTGGCTGGGGTGGGGGTGCTCCAGGGCTGAGAAGGGTGGCTGGAGGAAGGGAGGGGACTTCAGCCACAGCCAGGGCTTCTCACAGGTTCCTGGCCTCCGGGAGGCTCTGGCTCTGTAGGGGTCCTTGTCCGAGTATAGTTACTGGGGAGCGCTATGACAGGCTTCCTCGGAGGCACCCACCCAGTGCCCACCCCACACCAGGAGGAATGGGAGGTGCACACTCCTGCCCCCTCATCCCAGGCCCAGGGGCAGGCCTGAGAATGTGAATGTTTACAGACACTCAGAGATCTTGCCACCTACTCTAATGAGGACACTTGTCCTTAGACCAGGCCTACGGGAGGCCAAACCTTGGGTGAGTGGGAGGGGCAGTCTGGAATGGAAAGGAACTTTGGTCTTGCTGGGGGAGGTGTCCATGGACAAACAGATGGACAAAGGAACATTTGGAGATTCCGGACCAGGGGGGCCAGGCAGGTGCTGGGACAGCCCAGAGGCCAAGGACCTGCTCAGAATGTGCCCTTGGGGGTTTGGGGAGGGATGCACAGGGGCCAGGCTGACCATGTGGCTGGATCACAAGGGCCTTGAGGAGGTGGAGGGACAGTGGCCAAGAAAGAGGCTTCCAGGCATTTGAAATGACTTCCCAGGTGGCCTACTGCCAGGGCCAAAAACCAGAGGCCAGCCCGTGGATGGAGATGTCAGGGCCCTGGCTAAGTGACTGTGGGCAGTGCCCCATGATGTCTCACCTCACCCTTGCCTGCCTCACCTGCTCTGGCCCCAGATGGCACACCACTCCCCCACCCCCTTCCCGCAGCTGTTTTTGGAAGCCATTGGGAACTGGAGCTGTGGGGTTGGGTTTCAGGCCACTCTGCTGGCATGAATAATGCAGCTGGCTGAGATTGGAGGTGACCTCAGCCTAGGGGTGGGGGCACCCCCAAACCTCCTGCCTGTCCACCAGGACACAGGGTTCCCAGTCCTGGTCCTTGTCTGAGCATGCAACTGGCTGTCGGTCCACCTGTGCCCTGGCCTCCGCTGGGGCAGGAGAGGGGGGGAACCCCCTTCTCCATAGAGAGGTGGGGCCTCCCTGGTGGGTCTCAAAGTCTCTATGGCTTGTTCCCCAGACCACTCAGGAGGGGACGGTGCCAAGCTCTGCTGATCCTGAGATGTGCCCCACCTTTGGCCCGCTGGGTGAAAGAGGGCGCACGCCAGCCCAGACTCTCCCAGACTGAGGACAGAGAGAAGGCCCTCAAAGCTGGGCGCAGGTCACACCCAAAGGAATCAGACAGCAGGGCACCCCTTCCCTCACCCACCCTCCAGGGCTGTGGGATACGGGCATTCTAAGGCAGGCAAAGTCCCCAAAAGTTTGCCTCCCTGTGTCCCCTCTGAGGAAAGGAGCCCACAGCAGGGAAGAGGGAAGACATGGATTCCAGGAGAGAGGCCCAGGGAAGCAGCCGCAGGACAGTGGCAGGTCGTCCCAAGATGAGAGACAGACTGCAGATAGAAGG